TCTTTCCCTTCCCCTCCTCTCCCCCTGAATTTCCCACTTTCACCAGGGTGCGCGGAAGGTTACGCCAGAGATGCCACAGAGATACAGAATATTCAGATTGCTGATGGGGATGTCTGCAGGGGCCTACCGATTCCTATATACATGGTGTTTCCCAGGTTGTTCACCTGCCCTACCCTGGAAACAACAAACTTCAAAGTTGGTAAGTGCATAGGACTTTATGCTGTGTTGGCGTCTTTCATCTGAGGTAAGTTTCTAGTTTCACTTCAGCTTCTGGCAGGTAACGGGGTAAATTGCTGTCAGCACTGCACTGCAAGAACCAAGGACATCATCTGTTTCCCTGTAGAGGTTTCCTGAACGGGACTGCAGTCTGCTGTACTTCATATAGATTGAGAAAATACAGCCCAAATACTTCTAACTAAAAACAGTTGTGCAACTATTACGCTACTTCTGACTGATAGAATTATACGGTAAAGGGACCATATAAGGAGAAGCAGTGTAATGGCAGGTAATTTTTTTGTTTTTCTGCCAAAAAATTACGTGTGATTAAACACTTGAGTAGTAGCCCAAGAATAAAATGCCAAGATGATGCCTTCCTTCTTTTCATCACCAGCAAGAACCCCTCTTTCCATTTCCTCTCCTTCTTGTTTCCCATTCTCCTGCTGCACAGAATCAGAAGTAGAAAAAGTAAGGTTAGGCTGTATGTGACTTCACTTTTCTTGATCTATACCAGCTGCTTCCTCCTGGTTATTGTTGCCAAAATCCAACATTTTCATTAACAAACACCTGAAATTTAGGATTTTCCTCACTTGTTCCAATAATTACTGCAAAAATTCTCTTTGCTAGCCTGTTTTTCTTCCCTTCATCCTGCTGGAATCTGTTGGTTCTTCTTTTTTATTTTATTGTATCAGATTGAAGCCACAAGTCCCTGCCTTTAGGATCCTTCCCAACTGAAGCCCCTCCTACTTTTCTGCTGTATATCCTGGGCAAATGTGCACAACTGGTTTTTCAGCTCTGCCTACCTGTTTATCTGTTCCCCCAAGAGCATTCTTGCACCTGCTATGTACAGTGATTTTCCCCAAAATAATATTCTCTACTTTTTGCCATTTCTAGCTATTAAATAGTAATTTACGGTGACAAATGGCTACTGTTAGTGTAGTATCTACTTTTATTTATAGGAACAGTCTTAATATAGTTATGAAGAGTCTAAAAAAGGACAATTATTTTCAGTTTATTTTGATCTCTGGTTCCTTTCATTTATTAACTCTACCTGACTTTTGTATTCTATCTCCGTTGAGGATTGATTATAGATCTGATACTGATTTTGGTTTTGAACAACACAATATAACATCTAAAGAGCAGATTTTCTTTTGAAAAATGTTTTTCATCGTTTGCAGGTATATTGTATTTTGGTGTTTCATTTCATAAGGCCATATGTAATGCAGGATTCTAAGGCTATGTTACGTGCTGACAGCAGGGGAGGAGTCTGTTCCCAAACACTCCCACTTAGGTGCTTCTAAACAATCCATATTGGTGCGAGGCATCTTTCCCCAAACGTTTTAATCTTAGATGTCTGAACTCTGCCTGTTGTCCAGAGGACTGTACGTCCTAGTTTTTCAGTGATATGGAAATGAATCCAGACGAATCCCAAAGATTAGAACAAGCCAAGGTTCTCTAGGAATGGTCCAAGGTCTGGGATGCCTGGGGTGAGGTTCTGCCTGGAGTACCTTGTTCATCCCTGCCACAGGAAAATCCAGGGTATTGAAAGGGCTTGGGAGAGCCCTGTGAAGTGCTGTGTCTGAGAGCAGGAACTGCCTGCCTCTCATTCTTTCTACTGCTAATGTGGACCTCTCTATTTTTTTTCCCCATCTTCCAGAGTTTGAAGTTAACATTGTCGTCCTTCTGCATGACGATCATCTCATCACAGAGAACTTCCCACTGAAGCTCTGCAGGATGTAAATAGTCAGAGGAGAATCACTTAAGGATTTACTGAAAAAGGACAAAATTCTTCAGAGGCAAAGTGAAAGTTTATCCATGTCTTATTTTAACTGGAAACACACCACTTCCTCTTCTTGCTGGTAGTTCTTGTGCTTTCAATTCTCTATAAACCTTGCTAAGACTTTGCCTGCCTTGCGATAGCCTATGTGGATGTGTCTACCCAGACAGCCTTGTCAGGTATCCTTCTGACTTCAACAACCATTGTTCTCCCCAGTTTTTTTCAGACAAATCCTGAAGGAATGATTCTGTATATTTCTAAAACTTGTAGAAATATGTAGTAAGTTTCTCGCCTTATTTCATTTTGTAATACTTGTTCCAAGTCCTTTAAAGACACCTTAAACCTGCTAAAGTCCTGTTTATACATGGTGTATATATACTGGGGGGAGGGTATGGGACTTGTAATATAATACTGAATAGTGTCTTTGAAGGTATAATAAATGGTGCTACAACAGTGCAAAGTGGTGGTGTAGGATGAATATCACAAGACAAATGTGAAATAAGTGATGTGAAATGAGTAATGATGTGAAATGACACCAAGTGTATTTTGGTCAAATTGGGAATATGAGTCTGTATTGGAGGAATGCTTAGAACCAAAGTTGTTTTGCGTGTGGCTTTTCCCTGGGCTCTTCCCTGGATTAGAAAAACAATGCCCTTACTTTATCTTTGCGATTTGTGTAAAATAGCACTGAAAAAGAAGATCAGTCAAAAGTTTTTAGTTTGAGAATATACTTATTCTTTACATTGTACCATCTTCCCTTTTATAGGACTTGTACAGCTCAGTTTTGATGTGAAAAAAATGTCTGTCCTGTGACAAACAGCACCACTGAATTGTTGCAGACCAGCCTATGCTGATGGTGGAAAAACTGCATTAAACACTTCTATGGGGTGGCACCTTGTGCCTTTAGGACATGACTTGTCACTGTATGAATAGTCATTCCGAGGGAGACAGTCACTCTTTTTAAATAGGTGGGTTAGTATTGTCACTTGTTCAACCTAAAGTGTAAATGTAAATGCCAGGAAAGGAGTAAGTTAAGGTGAATACATTAAAGTGCTTGTAACTATGTATCTTAAAGGAACTATATAGGAGAACTATTTCAGCAAGAAATACCTTCTCAACACAAACAGGTTGTAGATTTTGATGTTTTAAATGAACAGAACAACCACAATTTCATTCTAATTGTGAATTTACCATACACTATTATGTGGGGTGGAGACAGGCTAAGTATATTAAAGTGTAAGTGTAAAGATGACAACCTGAAAAGCCAGAATTAAGAAAACTGCCAAAAGTAATTTCCTTTAGCTTTATCCAGCAGCATTGCCAACTAGGAAAATGTAATTCTCGGTTTAGCCCTGGTTCTGTATCATCTGTATTCTAGGAATAAACAACTGAAATTCTTATTTCAATGTCTTACAACAGTCTTGGGGGTGGGGAAAGGTATCTACTAGAACATAACACTTCTCTAAGATCAGGAAATAGTACAGGATGATTTTTGGAAAACGAAAGCCATTCTTTCTAGTCTACATGATGGTGTGAGTGCCACCTGCAGCTCAAAGTGGCATCATCACCGCTGACTGTCAACAGTTATTTGGAAAGACAGACTGGTGTTCATCCTGCCTTAGGCCCCAGCATCCACAGTCGAGCTGCTCCCTTAGTGCAGAACTGCCACCTGCTCAACTGCCCCTCTCCCCGTACAGGAATGGGGG